GCAAAAGCACTGGAAAACATGATCCCTGGCTTGTTTGACAGATGAAAGTTTATCCCAATGTTTGTTTTTTGCAAAGGAAGCAGTATTGACTGTTGACTAGACCTAGCACAGGTWACAGCACCTGCTGGTGCTTCTTCTCAGCAGGGGAAAAATGTTTTTTTGCCCGCTGTAGTGGCATTTTAGTTGATTGTGAGATTGCAAAGATACCTTGGCCACTCTCCAGCACCCATTGACACCTAGCATGCTTTAGCTCCCTATCCTCAGGAATTCTGCTTCGTTCCCAGCAAGGCTGAAGCATGTCCTAGATAGGTTCATCAGCTGATGGTGGTGCACCCACGCGTACCCAGACATGAGCTATTTCTGTTTTAAGACATTTTCCTATTTAATATCCTTAAGCACCAATTTATGGCAGCACTGTAGAGATTTCCATGAATGACTATGGGAGACTTCACTCGTCACTACAGATGGACTTGCAAACTTTAGAAAGAGGTCAGTGGTTTGGGGATTTGACCTAGTAACTTCCTAGAGCTACTGAGCAAAACAGGACAAGAAACATTTCAAAGAGCTAGATTTATTTTCTTTCCCTGCAAGTATTGCCACAGAAATCTGCATCAGTCAATTGCTGCAGAAATTTTGCATAATCCAAACCAGGCTTTTGTTARTACTTCACTGGTATCCTTTCAACCCACTGAATGCATTTTAATTGATTTGGCGGGATTATACTGAAGGATAAAGTTAGTCTTTATTAGCACAAAGGAGAACAGTAGGTAATTTTTAATTTCTTGTTTTATTTTATTTAAATAAGCCATCAGTAACTAATGCAGCAGTGAGTGCTTTCASTAGTGTTAGGTATTCTGTGGAGGAAAAATAAAATACCTGTCAGAAATACGCTGATGACGGCAGCTTGCCTGGAGCTGCACTCATTGTAATGAAACCTCCTGGACTGGAACGGGTACTGTTCATGCTCCTCACCCCCCGAGCTGTTTTTGCAATGTGTAAAACCCACAGCAGCAGTGCAGGGAGGCATCACTGGGCTGCGGGGCTCCTGTCCTTTGGAGGAGGTGTCAGCCGGGCCATGGCAACGGGGTTGGAGTCTGGAGGAGCTCAAAGAGTGGGATTAGAAGGGCTTACATCCTTTGACTGTGTACCGGATCACTGGATTGAAATCACTTTGATAGGTGCTTTTTGAGGATTTTGCAGGGTTGGTTGTTTTTTGATTTGTTTGGGGGTTTATTTGAAGTCCCTGTGACTGGGTTGCTTTGCTCCCTGGTTTTGCAGCAACACCAGCATTGAGTTTAAAATGGGTATTAAGACAATCAAKCCTATACTGACTGTATCAGCAGGGTGCTTCTTCATGGGACACAGGATATCACTTTCAAATCCATATCAAAGACAGACTCTCTCTTCGCCTCCCTTTCCTAAGTGGTGTGGTTGCTTTGGGAACAAGATGTGTTTCTTGCATGAGCAGCTCCATCGGTCCTTTTGTCAAAATAGCTGAGTTTGAGAAAGTTAGGGGTTTTTTTTTCCTTTCAGTAAAACAAGGAAAATCTCCCTGAGGCATATCATAGCATCCTTTTTTCCCTAATTAGCATTCTGGTATAACATCTCTCCATCCTTTCTCTCTCCCATCTCTAAGACTAGAAAATTTTGACAAACCACTTTTTGCAYTTTTAATATTTAATGACTAAAATGATACAAATGCTAAAGAATTCAGTTGATAACAGAGGGGAAATAAGAAGGTATTGAAGAACTGTGCTGCACAAACTGCCATTTACTTCTGTGCAGAACATGTATTGAAAAACACTGGGGAGGGCCTTAAAAACATGAGCTCATCATAGCATTGGGTATGAATTCATACATGCAAAATCTTTAAAATTTATTCTACATAATTCTACATTATTCTATGGGCATTACATCAAATCTTCTACGGTTGAAAGATATGYTACTTGGGCTTTCTTTTTAAGTTTTATTTTTTTAAAGAGTAGTGTAGGATAGTAATAGATTTCACAGCTTGGGACAAAATTTTTTGGTTAGAACACAGACATTTAGGACATTTTTTTTTTACAGAACCAGTCTCTATTAGGTTGTTTTAGGTGTTTTTTTTAATGTCTCTATCTGTACCCAAGGAATGCTCTGATCAGTGCAGCTCTGTCCRCAGGCCAGCAGATAATGAAAGACCTGAGCATTTCCTGAGAGATAAGTTATGAAAAACCAAGTAGCTCTTCTTTCAGCATAATTCAATTCTCAGTAGTAGAAATGTGAAATTGTGGTGTTGTACCTCTCTCCCAAAATTCTCTTTAATTGATCTTGTTTATTTGGACTTCTTAAATTCATATATGGGACAGGGGAAAGCAGCAGTAGTAAAGGCAACTTCTTAGGAATATGTTATTATCTTGTTCCTCCACGCTTAACAGCATGTATTTGTAAATTCAGGGAATAGTGGAGATTTCCAAGAAAACTATTTTGTGATGTGCCTACCRTGGATTTAAGTGCAAAGCCTTTAAGGAGGGTTCAGCACTATTCCACTATGTATCAACAAGTGTGATTAGCAATTAAGAGGTTTTTACATACACATCAGTCCTGTTTACTGAACAAACTCTCGCAATGAGCTTTATTTAATTAGCAAAAATGGGGAAAAAAAGAAAAAGAATGAATAATAGCTTAGTGGTTGTCCTGGTAGTGCTCAGCCTTCTTGACCCTTCAAGATGCTCACAAATTTTCCTGTAGTCAAAAGCACCAAGGTGCGTAAGTGGGAGAGGTGAGGGTCTGAGACAGCTGTGGTTGAGCTGGTGAGGTCCTATGTGCAGTTCCATCACTGCTTTTTTTCATCTATCCAAGGAAATTGCGCGAGGTCAGCAATTTAGCTTCCCCAAGGATATTYTTCTGACTGCTTACTTCATTTGGCAGCAAAGTGCTGAATTTCAGCAACCAGAAAAACTTGCAAGACCTGGAAGTACTGTGGCTTTTTTTTTCTTCATTTTTATTTTAGTATGCTGTGTGCCATTTCTTTATCATGGAGAAATGAAAAGGTTTTTAGTGGATGAAGTAGGTTACATGCCATTAAGGAGTTCTTAAGGTAAAATAATTGCTTTRAAGACATTAGGCAGAGGTTCTGTGTTATCAGCTAATGCCCTAAAATTGTATTTACTCACTGGGTTAGCATTTCCCTGTATATGGCTTTCTTTCTGTTAATGAGCTCATGTTCCTCGTGGGCAGAATTTATTCCATCAGACTTAGGAAATAAGTGTCTTAATGTTTCTTGAGAAGATTATTGAAACCAGGTAAACAAACAAGATCCCACAGATTCTGTACCYATCCACATTTTCTTACGTTGTTGCTCAAACTGTGTAGAAAATTAAAATAGTTTGAGTCTGTAATTTATTCCTTATTAGAGGAGTAAAATGCAAATAACTTGTTTCCATTTAATGTAGCTTAAACAGGGGCTGAGCATATTACATACACAATCAAGAAGTGCGTAGGGTTTATAAAGGCTTGGATTTGGGATGTTATTCTGGAGTAAGGATTAAAATGTCACTTCTTAAATCCTCTGCTTTGTCAGTGTTCCTTGGTAGACGAGTTTACCTTTTTTAAAACTGTGACTTCTGTACTTGAGCACTGAATCCATGGGAAAAAAATACACTTAAGGAAGCCAAGTTAACTCCACTTAAAACACTGTAGCTGAAGATGTGTGTAAAGTAAGGAGGCTTTCTTGTACTGCTGGTTTGAGCTGCTGATGSTTGGTCTAGTAATTTAGGAAATTATGTCACTACAGCAGGCTGAGGTTGATGAAGGCTTAGATTTGCTGTGGCCTCCTATGTGTAACCTAGCCTGAAAGACTCTGCTTCTAAGCCATGCCTGCATATGTAAATACAGCTGGTCGTGTACATCTCAATATTAAAAAAGTCCCCAAGTCTGATCTTACAGTAGAAAATGGATTTTACGACCCTTCTACAATCCTTGATATAAAAACACGGCTTTAAGTTTAAATCCTGGAAAGTGGTACTGGGAGATGAGATGGGAACGTTTGTGGGGACATCTTTTATCCTACCAACACTTGCTGTATGTTGGAGGCATTAATTTAAAATTATCAACTAGTTGACTTTTGTAGCCTATGAAAATTGAAAGATTTGCAGTAAAATTATTTATTCTTAATTATAGAAAAAAAAGACAAGAAAAAATATTAAAACTGATCCCCACACCCACAAAAGAACCTGTTTTCATGTGGAAAGCCAGTTTTCTAGTAAGCATTTATCAGGGACTAAGGCCACTGGAGGAAAGCAGTATTACATAAATCGGGTGTGCAGTTCTGAGCTAAATAAATTTTTAAATATTTTGCATAAATTAAGGAAATTAAATTATGCATAATGTGCATAATTTCATCCTTTTGTAAATGATGTTGCTACAGTTAGCGATTAAATAACACAGTGCAGCCCCTCAAGTTGGAACAATTAGACCTTCCATGACTCTGTCTATAGATAGAAATTCCTTAAGCTCAGCAAGGGAATGGGAGTGAGGGTTAGCACTTGGCTATGATCTGCTCCCTGTTTTTGATGACTTAAGAGGGCTGTTCAGGACAGAGTGTCAGCCTATATGAACACTATCAACCAGCTTGAACAAGTCAGATTATTTAATTAGCCCTATTAAGACCCTTCTATTTTTATAACTTATTTATGAGTGTTCTTGCTAAGCTTAGAAGGTCCAGCTTCAGATATCAAAAAGATGTTTTCAGCTCATGTTGTTGATCTTGAGGGGTTTTAYACTGTAACTCCACTACATTTTCGTCCTAAGAAAACAAAAAGGGGCTCTGGAAAKCAGTTGAAGTTGGGAAATTCACTTCTGCAGTCCCAACCTGCAGGTTTCAAGCATAGGGCATTTGTGGTGTCCATGCATGACTGACATAAGCTTGAGTGCCAAAATGTTTATTGTATGCCTTTGACTTACACCACCAAAAATCCAGAGATTGTTTATTTATTTTAACACCCATTTGAAGTGTCTCCCCCAGGGCAGAAATGTTCCTTGGCCATTATTTTAAGACAACCATGCTGTATCTTACTTGGTGTCCAGTGCTGAGAAAACAAGGTGATGCTTGTTTTGAGCATCAGCTTTGCCACCCTTTTACTGAGATCCACATTCTGCTTTTATCTAGGTTTTTTGAGAGAAGCAGGAAATGATTTGATGAAATAGCTACTAAAATTAAATCAAACATTCATGTTTACCAAAAGAAAAACTTTTAAAGCAATTGTATCCAGATTTTAATTTGTGTCATGGTTGTACCTTCAGAGTGTTTGAAAGGGCTCTAATTTTATCACAAGCATGAGACTCTTATCTGCCTCCCCAAAATTAAMTTAATTTGCAAAGGAAAAAAAAAAGTGAAATTTCCATGTCTGAATTAGGTCAATGAGCTTTTCATTTTTGATGGAACCACTCAGGGCTAGTTTACAAGAAGAAACTCCTCAGCTGTGGACTAAATTTATGCTTCGGGGGGGGAAAAAAAAAGTCACTGTTTATTAGGTGCTCGCTTGTGGCTTGAAGCTGTTCTGGTATCAGTAAAGAAACAYGTTATTAAATAAAGATCAGTCCCAAGGTGATGCTCAAACAATATATGGATTTGGAAGTAAGATTAAGGTGTTTTGAAAGTGGAGGGTACCTGTGTGAATTATRGTTCTGCCCAAAACTATCTCAAACAAATGTGATTGGATAAATCTAGGTAGATGGCATCTGCCAGCTCACATCTGAAGATCTTATCCAGCTTCAGTTGCAGGTCAACATTTCATCCTCCTGGCAGTGAGTCTATATATGTGCTTTAGTGCATTATGTCATCAGTAAATTATTTTAATAGCAAATAAGCCTTTATTACTTTTGCTCTTGCTTTATTGCACTTGCTGCTCTACATTCAATATGTACAGCATTGGCACAAGATAGTTTGCATGCTCACTAGTGCATTAGCAGGAGAGATGGMAACTCTGTTCCAAGACCATAATRWTTTGAATCTGGTACTCTTAAAGCCRGAAGAAAAAAAAACAACCAAAAACTCAAACAAAAAAACCCAACAGTTGTTGCACATCAGGCTCTTGTAGAAATGTAGGAAGTAAAAGCTTATAAATGAGGCAAGTTTTTCACAGAATCAGAATATGCTGAGTTTGAAGGATCCATCAGGATCACTGASTYCAGCCCCTGGCCCTAGTTCTGGAAGRTGACAAGATGAGACAAAATTAATATGGTTTCCAAAGTACCTGGACATTTTTGGAGACAGCTTTCAGGTTAAAACAGGAATGTGACCAATTCAAGATAGCAATAGAAATTAAAAAATGGGCAATAATAAAGAATGTGAAAGACATTCAGTGTAGTATTTGAATATGGAGGGTACTCTGCACGTAGGTTTAGTGAACATTGAAAAATTTCCACCTCTTGCTCCACAATTTTGAATAGTACACAGAATTAACATGGAATTTGAAAACTGAGATAAATTTAATGTGGATTAATGTTATTTTGATAAACGCTGAGTAAACTGCTCAGTGTAGTAATCTGCTTTGCCTGCGTCTATACCTGTCCAACAGAACGGGTTTATGATGGTGCTGGGGAGCACTGCCTGCAGCAACTGCAGCACTRTGGTAAATAGCAGAGTCTTGGAAAGACAGGCCTGACATGGAGCAGAATAGAGATTTATATGAACAGCCAAAGGAAAAAACACACAGTTCACTTTGAAAGCAATCTTTCTATTGCCAAATTAATTTTTACATTATGTGTGTRGAATAAAGTTGCTGTAGAACCCAAGGAAGGTCTTGCACACTTCRGTGTTGCCATTTTTTCCACTGACATCATGTGTGCTAAGAGGATATTGGCTCTCCTCCAAACCTGACCTGGTTCCCTGCAGAGGACAGAGCCTTGTCCAGGTTTTCACTCTTTCTGGTGGAAGGTGAAGTAGGAACAACCAGGTTCATTTACTGAAGTTGCTTTGGATTTTCACCCTGCTGCCTCAGACCAAAATGTCACATGGAAAGTTATTTTACTTAAGACTCTCATACAGTAATCTTTTCAAATGCTGACTTTTTTATACCCTTATGCCCTTCACAWGGCATCATTGGAGGTGGTACATACCATTACGAGGCACTTCTGGCTTAGGTCCCTCAGAAGGCAAAGTACTCACTGAGTGTTGTTTTACCTTTTTTCACATCATAACTTTGGAGCCAACTGGGAGAGAGGTTTTTATATAAATACCTTGACTCTACAACAAAACCTATTTAAATTTGTTACTGGAGAACTGCTGGCAAAGAACTAGGCTCTCCTTCCAGTGACCCAGCCATTAAATGGGCTCACACACCAGGGATCCCCCTGTGTGAGTGTAGACAAGGAACAGGTCCATCCAGTCCCTCTGTGTTGTTTTCCTTTCCCACTCACTGCTCAGGATGCTTTTTGCACATCAGCATTACAAGGTTCCACATGCTCAGTTTTGGCTTTCTTGCCCTTCCCTAGATTGGCACCTGATGGGAAAACAGCAAAATAGTCTGGGCACTAGCATTATATGCCCTTTTCCATGGATCCAATCAGTGCTCCATGTGAAGAAGGCATGGTTTGTGTAAGGTCAGTAAAGCACAGTGCTGCTCCTCCGCTGCTCAGGAACTGCAGGAGACATTTTTGAAAGTAAGGCTGAGTCAACAATTCCATATACAGGGAGTTTGGAGAGGAACTTCCCTGGGCACGTCTGGAAAATGAGGATTAAAAAAAAGTACATTACTGGAAATTTTGGATCTGCACAGTCAGATGGATCCCTGGCAGGAAATTAATTTGCAGGCTCACTGYTGCAACCATCAGTCTCAGTGTTTGTCACTTTCTTCTTGTCATCTCCCATTCTTTACTGCTCTTAGGGAAACAGGCCAAGCACTGCTRAAATGCTCATAGAATTGAATTGCCTTTGGTATACATTCCTTCTTGTCTGAGATATTAAACATTTTTCATTTGCTGTTTCTGTTAAAAAGATTGTATTTCAGAGGGTTGTAACTCCATGCCTTCCCTCCCTGTCATTGTTCACTCTGTTCAGTGTTGTGAAAACTTTTCTTCCAAGTAGTTAATAATGAAGAAAACCTGCAACTGTAATGCTTTCAACCTGAACACAGAGAGAGGTGAAGCTCCTGACCTGAAAATTAGTAGCTTCCGAGTCGGCTTCTTTAAAGTGCACTGCAGAAGTGCAGCATAATTTTGAACTAGTTTTTSAAATTCATTCATGAATAAGACCAGTATTTTTCATAGTTAAGTTATGTATGAAAAAGTGGYATTTTATTATTTCCTTTTTTCTTAGTTTTTAAAAGTTTTGATACATGTAGCGTTGGATCAAGGCACACAAGACTGGCCAAAGGGCGTACAAAGCACTTTGGTTTTTAGTTGAGGAAACAGAATGATTATTGTAACAAAGAGTGGCTTGGGGTTTAAACATGAAATAGCTTATAGTTCAGCAGGAAGGCAGAAAGAAACATGTTACCTTACCATTTTATCAAGGAATTTCTGGATAACTGTGACAGTAATGGGCAGTATTCCTGACTGTAACAGCAGTATACTGAACAAAGATCTGTATATGCTTTATAACTGCATTCCCCATTTGTCTGCTYACCTTTGGGATTGGTTTTTGAGACCTCACTTTTACTGTCTTGGGTTTTGTCCTGCTCACTTTTCTTGTGAAACTGCACTTTCAGCCCTTTTTCTTTTCAAAGCAGTTTCAAAGTGTTGTCTCTGCCTTCCTGCCCTTKTCTCCCAAATGCCTGTTAATATCCATCATTATTTTCTCTGTAATATACAGACCACTGGTTCTGATAACCAAAAATCCATTCCTAAACTGTGTCTACCTCCTTGGTTTGTAGAGCCTACTTTTTTTCTTTTTTAATTCCTTGATAGAAATTTGATTCTGCTTTCTTCTAGGGATCAGGTTTTTTTAAACTTGTCAAAAGCTTCAGTCTCATGCATGCCTCAATTTGGTTATTTTCTTTTAAATTGTATTTCACCACTGTTGAATGGATATATCCAGACAGCTGATATTGCCCATTACTACACACATTTTTGTTTATTGAATATTGTTGTGGTTTACAGATTTAATGGACCCAACACTGTAAGTTCTGTGAGTTTTTGTAACCACTTTTGGATCTTCCTGATTTGCCAGGTTCAACATTATTTTATTGATACCAAAGTGAAAAATGGCCTGTGCTTACACTTACAAGGATCTCAGATGAATGTTCTGACTGCTCAACACGGCAAGAAAATTCACTTTCACAGTCAACAAGTCATCTTACTCAGTAGAACACAAAAGTTAAATGGTCTGTAACTTCAATATTAGCAAGGAAAATACAGTACAAATTACTAAAAAATACTAAAATATAGAATTGTGGTCAGGTATTCCCACTACATTAATCGCAGCAGTAGCCTGAAATTTGAAACTTTTAATAAAAAGTTCTTAAATATAAATTATATGGCAAATGTACAGTACATTGCTTTGTCAGTCTTTTAATCCAGTGTTTTGCAGTAGAACAGCAACTGTTAAGTCAGTCTTTTCTTGTTTTCTTTAAAAAACAAAACAAACCCAAAAAAACCAACAAAACCCAAACCAGTCTTTCACGTCCCTCAGTATCATGAGTGTGAATGATCTGAATCTGGAATACCACTGTCTCTGTAACTCCTGTTACTACTGCTTTCACTGTGGCTGTTCTTGTACAGATTCATGCCGTTAGGTGGGAAAATGGTGTGTATTACAAATTCCTCCTTGGACACTTGGTCATTGGTTATTGGTATCATCTGGAAAGAAGTCTCCCTGATTTCCAGGATGGAGTTATCCTTCTTGGTTCCCGCTTCGGCATAGTCGTCTTTTCTCCGGCGTCCCTTGCTGTAGGTGCAGTTCCGGGAGAACAGGGACCCATTTCTGTGGACGTACCAGCAGACCAGAGCCAGCAACGCTATGGCCACCAGCGCCACTGCGCCGCCGATGATGGCGGCCAAGGGCAAGCTGGAGTTTTTGTAAGGTTCTTTCTCCTGCTCCCGATTGAGGGTGGTGGTAGGGTTGTACATCTTAAGAGGTGCCGTCTCGGTCTCGATGCATTCGGGTGTTTCGTCGGAGAGATAGATGTTGCTGGTTTCCATGGGAACCATGCACACACGGTATGGTGATTCTGGTTCGAGAGCCGTGAGCAAATAGTCGTTCCTATCGCCTGTAACGATCGTTTCAGTTATAGATCCAAAGGCAGGGCTGTGACCCATCTTGAGCCAGCTCAGTCTCAAAGCAGTCATTGGTAGTGCAACTTTCCAGGAAATGTGAATAGTCTCCGTGCTTACGGATTTCACAAATATTGTAATGATTTTGCGTACCGGGCTTGCTGTGGTTCTGTAGTTTTTATTTAGGTTGGGTGTCTTGATGTCTGGTTGTTTGGTCACAGAAATGGGCCAGTGCCCCTGGGCTGGGTATAATGTGTTTGGTACCGCGGTAGTGATTTGAAYGGTGCTTATCACACCATCGTCCTTACAGTCAAACAGATCTGCGCTGAGGTCTTTGATAGCCATCCCACGTACTTTTTCTGGTGCCTGACACATCAGTCCACGTACATTAACTTTTAAAGGCAATGACTGTAACCAGTCGCGTACCCATTTCATATTGCACCCACAGTGCCAAGGGTTGTTGCGAAGAAAAAGYTGAGTGATGTTGTCCAGATCATCAAAGACACCCTGAGGTAAATTGCTGAGATTGTTATTGGACATATCTAGTCGATATAACTGCCGTAAGTAAGAGAAAGCATTGGGTGGCACACGGTTGATGTGGTTTTCTTGAAGATAWAGCCTTCTTAGGTTTGTTCCCGGCAAATTCACCGGTGCGGCTGTGAGCGAATTGCGGACCAACGACAGTTCTGTAAGATTGACCAGATTYGTGAAGACTTTGTCTCCTAATCCATGATTATTTAGAAGATTTCCGTCTAAAACAAGGCGTTTTAGATTTGTAAGGTCTTGAAGGGACAGCTCAGAAATTGTGGAAATACGATTATCATCCAAGCGTAGCTCTTCTATGGTTTTAGGCAAACCCCAGGGAATGGTGCTAAGGTGATTTCGAGAGAGAAAAAGAAGTCTGAGATAGATGTTGTCCCGGAAAGCTCCATCCTCAATGCTAACGGCAGAAACAGAATTATCATCCAAATGCAGTTCTTCCAGATAAGGAATTTTTGAAAGTGAATCATAAGTAATGGTCCTTATATTATTCTCCTGCAAATGCAATTCCTTAATGTACTTAGGGAGGTTAGTGGGGAATTCATCTAGGCTGTTGCGGTATAAATATATTCTTTCCACCCTAAGCAAGTTCTTCAGTTCTGAAGGAATCCCAGCATTATTTATTTGATTGTTCTGAAGGAAGAGGGTAGTTGCATCCTCTGGGATTCCTGTAGGAATAGACGTCAAATCGCGATCATTACAATAAATGAAACCCATATCACAGCGACATACTGAAGGGCATGGTTTGGCACTAACAGAATAAGGTGCCATCTCAAGTAACAGCCCTATTTTAGTCCAAACTAGGAAGATGCTCCAGGTAACACTAATCATGGTCAGGAATGATGAGATTTGTATACAGTTCTGATCTTCAACAATCTAAAAAAACCAAACAAACAAAATTATCCAGATCATCAGTGAAGAAACCGCAATAAAATTCAACTTCAGCATTACAGAAGACATCTGAAACACACACATGAAACAAAAATTCAAGCTCATAGATGCATTTTACTTTCTTTTCCTCAYATCAGTAATTCTACTATTTGTACTAATTCAATTAACTTAATAGGTTATTCTGCATAGTGACTGAAAATAACGTAATCAAGTATGTCTGATCTGAGAATTCTTTTGCTTAAGCAAGAAGGTGCTTTCTAAGGATTCCTTCGCATTTCATGTATACCGACAATCTTTGTTCACAGATACCAGATAAGTACAGAACTAAAGTCACAGCAGAGTTCAAGTAAATCATTCTATATCTGAAAGATAAGAAGTAATTCCTAAGCCAGCTAACTTCCCCAGGAGCCCTTAAGTGAACTATAAAACCCTTACCAAACCCACAAGTCTAATGGTAGCTATTTTGGAAGTTCAAAACAAGCCCTAAAGGCAAAGCAAAAAATGCAGACAAAAGACTAAGGGCCAGTAAAGACTTTTTCCCAAGGRTTTCCAAGTGCTCAACTTCACAGCGTGTAACTTACAAACACCCTGGACTACTTYGCTTGGTTTTCAAGCTGAAGTGTTCAGGTAGGTGAATGTTACAACTGGTAGGTAATGGATAGAGCTATGGCTTTCTAGTTCACTGGATGAAATACTTCATTATATGCTTAATTTCATGTTTAAATATTTGTCATTCTCAAAAGTCTTCTTACTAASCAGCACACTCATAAGAGACTATTTGGCAGGTTTAACCACATTTTCCCATCATATTAGTAGTGTAGTATAAATTAACTCTTGAGACTGAGATTGTACTTTGCATTGGTAGTGTGTTTGTACACTAAGCTCAGGTAATTAGCATTTTTATAGCTTTTAAGACAACATAATTCAATTACCATTGTAATTAGGGTTGTGAGAACTCCTGCAAGATGACCTATGCATTAAGCGGTGTCATGACCTTTTCTCTTGTGGGTTCATATATTAATTGAACTTTATTCTCTGAGGCATGAAAAGCAAAATAAATTAATATTGATCCTACCGTATTTAAAGGTATGAGYAAATTTTGTGCTTGAGGGTATCCAGTAAATGAATGTCTTTCTGCCCAGTCACTCTTATGGTTTACTCCATGAAGCAGTTTTTTTCTCGATGGTGTTTACTCAGATGGTCCTTGTTGGTGGTGTGTGWTTCCTGGCTCCTGGCACGGTACTCAGTGAGCATTCCAACCAAGATTTATCATGGTACATAAGCACACCAGGCCCGGGTGTAGAAAAGCTTCAGCTTCCTTCTRTTTTTGTCCTCATGTAAAGTCTGTGAATGAAGAGCCTCTTTTGTTTGGTTTAATGCCTTTAGCAGGAATTACTTTCTTTGTAACTCTTAGGAACTCTTCTGTGCAGCGTAGTAGTCAGAGGAGGGAACTTCAGCGCCATGTGACAGAAACCATTCATTATGCTGAGGCTCGAAGGATTGTAGCCTCTTCAGGAGGTCAGGAAAGGGATGCTTTTTCCTATCCAGAATTATCCAAGTGTGACYTTTGTACAGTAGCTACATCCCAATACATCCACACCTCTTTGAGAGAACCATTTCCCAACTCTCATTTATCAATGCTTCTTCCAAAATTGTAATGCAGGAAACAATTCCTCCTGTGCTGCAAGAGTGCAACTTACTCTACCATAGAAACAACAGGCAACTCAGATGGTTTTCTTCATTACAAAAAAAAACCCACAAAAATATGATTTCCTTCCCAGAAAATTCCCCTTTGAAAGCCTTCCTCAAACTCTTATGTCCTGCAAAAGTGAAAACAAAAAAAAATTGGAATTAATAACAACTGGTGCACACTAGTTTTAAGAGTCACATCCCCTGTACACAAATAGCATGCCTTGTTTCCCCCCAAAAAAGCATTGGTATTTCAGCAAAATACAGAGCTCTTTCAGAAAACATTTTGCTGTGTAGTTTCATGTTGCTTCACTTTTGCTAGAAGTATATTTTCCTGTTTCAGTAGAAAAATAAAGGCAGAGAGTAACAGAATATTTGTAAATTATGTTTTTCACCTTATGACAAATGCCAGTGTTACCTCCTTGGAGGAGGCCAAAATGGTTGCTTGCTTTGTGTTCCTGGTAAATAGAGATTATGATCCTCTCCTTGCTTACTGCTTACTAGTTACTGGGTGAAAGGGGAAGCATCTTTGCTAAAATACTGTATGAATATTTCCCTTTTTCAGAAAACTGATTCTGAGCGAGGGACTAGACAGGCATCTGTGTCAGCTCTTTGGCAATACATAGGTGGGTTCAGTCTGTAACATTTCAGAAAAGAAGAAAAATTTTGTTTGTTTCATTTGTCTTTCTTACCAAACTCAAATTACTTTTAAACATCATTCTTAACTTGGGCTACTTYGTATCACTACTGCAGAAAGTATCCWGTGAGATWCCAAGTCTGTGTCCCCTRAGAGTGCATAGGTAGCATGTCTGAAATAGAAGTGGTTAAATCTGAAATGAAACAAATCCTTAAARTTTACTCGCTTTTCACGTTTGTCCAAAGGCCTGAGCACAGTCCTCAGGACCAAAATGCTTGGCAGGAACAGTGTGCTGAGTAATGCTTGCTTTAGCTGCCTTCCTGGGAGCAATATTAGAGCAACTTCTGGTCCTCCGTAAAATACTCGACCTAAACACAAAGGCTCTCTGTTTTAAAACTGTCTTTTGCGATTTGTAGCAGGTCTATCATAAAACAGAGCAGTCATACTCCTACAGAAACACAAAATATGCAGTGATATAAAGTTATTTAAATAGATACAAATTCTGCTGCTCTTTTTCATAGAAATATGTTAACCATTAAAAAAACCCTAAAGCCCCACACTTCAGGGATGTTGTGACTCTCCAGTGAGGCAGTGGAAAAGCCTTTTYTCTCCTGCTGCTGCTTTCATGCTCCTCTGAGCTTTGTTTTCAGCACCTTGTTTTCAGCAGTTGTCCAATGAAAATAGGAAAAATGAGAGACCCCCACAGCAGAATGAATAAGTATTTTTATGTATGCTTTCTTTAAGATAAAAACTCAATCTGTATGGCCACATTTTAGAATAGAAGGGAATGCATGTTTATTGGTAACTTATGTAATTTGGGTAAATTATATAATCATTATAAAATGGAACAAAAAGCTCTGTATTCTTCCATTGTCTAGTTTTCTTGGTCTGTACTATTTAAGTGTTTGGGAAAAAAAGGCCAGGCCTGATTCCTAAAACTTTGAAATAAAGAGCAACTTAACAGCTGTAGAAAAAAAATGGTATCTCTTAGAAACTAATGTGGAATCGTGATGCAGGGTATTTTCTGGAAGGGTATGGTGAAGTAGGAATATAAATTCCTTTAATAGGCCTTTGAAGGCTACAATAACTTTTAAGTACTTAAAATCATAAATTTTCYTTAGAACTCTAAGCTGTAAAAAACTTGTATTAAGCAAAACGTTGGCTCTAGTATGCGTACATTACATAGATCTGTGCACACACAGAAAGTTCATTTGTTTTACCTTTCTAGCATATACTCTGCTTYATTTGATAGTCATCTCTTCATTTATTGCCACTATTATAATAGCAGTAATGTGTAGGATTAAAATGAAAGCACTAAAGCTCATTAAGTTCCTGGAATTTTTTTTATCCCTTCTCTSAAAATTACATGAAAACAAGAGCAAGAAAAAGAAAAGGTCGCTTTGGAGAAGACGACACTGTTTCAAAAATGTGGATTAAGACTATACCCCCCACTCCCTTTTCTAAACTTAGAATAGTTTTCTTCAGGTCTTGATTGTTTGATATCTCGCACTTCCCTTTTATATCTCAAGCCATAGCTGAAAACAATGTTTTTGCATATCAAAGGCTCCAGTGATCTGTCTACAGAGAAGAAGGGAATCCTGCTGCCATGCTCCAACTTTCCTCTTCTTGAGCTGTCTCTAAATATTCCCTGACACCAAGTCATTATAGCTGATCCGGCAGGATGAAAAGAAAAGTGACCCCCACTGGTACAGACACTGTGTCCAGGTTTCTGCAACATCAGATTGGGAGGCTTCATGGACACATGGTTTTGAAAGAAGCCATTACTTTTGAACAGACCAGATTTTAGAAACGCTGTGCTAAAATCCTAAAATTTAATTTTTAAATGCAAAAATCACTCTTTGTTTTTTAGTAACAAAAGTAACATTGGAAAAACTGAACAGCAGCATTTTTGCTTTTTATTCCGAGTGGAATGTTGTCCTGAACTTTATGGTTAAATTAGTTTTTCTAGGACTGTGTAAGGAAGTGAATTACTAGAGATAGCAGGAAAGTGGGCTTACATGTGGACTTATCACTGTACAGCTAAGCAGGGGGACATCTCATTTGAAAATGTTCAATGTGATTTGAGCTACACAAATAAAAAATGTACCTAGGAAGAACATTGTATCTACTCTCRAGTATGGAGTACAGCTGCACTCGCTGTACTGTAGGCAGGCAACAGCTTAACAAAATAAATAGTTTT